GATCCCGTCTCCTGTCTCTCTGTCTCAGCTCATCGTACAGAAGCACGAGGTTCTCGTAGTGATCACTGGAGGCGTCGAGCAGCTCCGCACAGGCCCTGATGGTGGCTGCCTGCCGATCGTTCTCCGCTTCCATCGTCCGGATGGTCGCCTGACGTACTGCGAACACTTCTTCAGTCATAGCGTCTAATCTGATGTCGAAAAGTAGAGTTTACGTTATTATAAGTACATACTTGTATCCACAAAGTATTTTTATATTATTTCCTTTTTTACGTATTATAAGATGTGTGTCTGTGAATGACGAACTTGGCTTTCATATCTAATAATATGGAAAATTATGTAAAACCAGAAACTTAATTGTCCATGTACAATAGTAAGACTGAAGTCAAACTGAATTTTAATACAGAAGATAAAGCACGCTATACACTAATAATCCCCACCTCCCATTTCTACAAAGATATAACTTCCCTTTAATAATTGGTCCCGTTAAATAAGTCCACGACTTTATGACGTTGACTTAGGTTTTATGTAATTCCACTTTATAAGATTGTTGAATTGCTTACATTCGTTTACGAAACTCCAGATAAAGACAGAACAGAACAACCACAGTGATAATCACAGCGCCATTGAGCACTGACCAAGTCAGATGTTGGCTTAGCAAGTGGAAACGTTGCACCCGGATCTTGGGAACTACGTCCCAGATCGAGAAGCCAGGGATGAGCAGTGCTAGAGGCAAACCGAACACCACTGCGGTGCACAGAATCACCGTGTAGTCGAACTCGGAAGTGCTGTTCGACATTCTTTGTTGTCTTATATCACATTGTACAAATTTTGAACCAACATCACACAACAAATGTCACAGATATGATTGACGCAAGTCAAATTGCGTAAATAATTCTTCTATCAAATGCAATAGATTATGTTAGTTTTCGCAGTCAAATAGAGTATCAAGATTTTACTTAAAAATTCAGAAAGGTCGACGCAGATTATGTGATATTAGGCGACGAAGAGGTGTAGAATAATAAGGGACGAGAAAATTAATAAGAACTAAGAGAAATTGAAAAATATACTTTTTAAGTTTTTGTTTCTACATAATATTATTACCCATAGGGTGTGGGTGTGAGTGTCCGAGTGTCCGTCACATGTGACGTAAGCACGGCCACTCGCGCGGCATATCAATTTCAACTCCGGTACACACAATAAAATCGTACGGTCTCCGGAGAGGGCTTAAACGATTCGCCGTTTTGTCTCGGCCCCAGCTGCGTAATGGCCGAAGCGGGAAAAAATTGTCAGCAAGAAAACGCGAGGGTAGTCCGGGTTTATGTGCGCGCGCCAGATGGCGGCACAAGCGACGCGCTCCTAACGGCCTCTGCTTACCTCGCAAAAGCCGCGCCAATTTTATTTATCGAAAATATAAAGCGATTTGCGGAGCGGCCTCGTAAAGTCCGCGCTCGATTTATGACCAGCGCAAGACGCGCTGTTACAACCTCGCCTCTCCTTAAAACTTGTCATCGTAGTCACTTTTGCTGCTTTAGTGTCGCTTGAAAGGTACGTTCCCATATATAAAATCTCATCGTCTTAAGAACTCACACCTTATGTACTAACCTAAAGGTTGATTTCTACAGCGACGTCTGTAGAAAAACGATAGACCAGCATAAAAAAAACTTTTGATATTCCTAGATATCGCTTAGTTAATAACTTAATAACAAGCTATAATAACTCAACGTAAAACGATGCCCTGAGGATTGTATAAAGTGCACCCACGTAGGTGATTCGAGGGCCGCGACATTGCGTGTCGAGGTTCGTTGCCCGTTGTTCGCGACTCTTAAGTATCAATCACTTTAGATAATTTGAACAATCAAATCATGTTGTTACCCTTGTCTAGACCTTTTACTTAAACATTACGGGTAATTTGCTTGTAAATAATTATAAAGCACGACACGTGCCAAAACTAAATGACCATTGGTTACAATGGAGAAAAAATCGACGATGGAAAGAGAGAAATAGAGTCAACTTCATTCGCAAAAACATAATTGGGACAAGTTCTTTTACTGCTTTTTCTCTAATTAGTTACATTTTACCTTTACGTTATACCCATAATGTGAAATCATTATCATCAGCTTACTATACGTCCCAACTAAGGAGCTCGGATCCTAACATAAAGTCTGAAGTGGCCATGCCAGTTTTGATACTGCGGTATAAATATGTATAAGGAAATTTGCCTGCTACATACTACGTGATAAAACTGCTCATAATGCTCTAATAAAGCCAATCGATTACCGCGTTAAGTAGCAACGAAATTAATTAGGTAATTACTAACCATATACCGATAAAAATTCAACGCAATCAACTGACAGTAGCCATATTAAGAAAACGCGATAGTTTCGATTCCATTATTGACGTAATTGGCGTCGAATTCATTACGTTTATGAAGGGCAAATTGTTTTGGTGAATCCCATATCAATTTACTTAATAGATTGCTTTTATGTTATCGACATACTTTTATGAGATTGCGCTCGTGTTTTTGTTGACTCAAATAAGCTAACGTTTGTTTAATGATGATTGAAAATTCGATTAAAGATTTGAGCAGTTAAAAATGTATTTGAAAAAGTATTGTTTAAATTAGGTTACTGCTGAATGTTGCTAGAAAGACGATTAAATCAAAGGTAAAAGAAATTAATCCTAATAATATTATAATAGCTAATGTTTGTTTGTATGGATGGACGGACGGACGTTTCTAGAAGGTATTTTCTGGATCTTGATGAAATTGGGCATAGATGTAGAATATAGTGTGGAAGATCACAGAGGCTTATAATTATTTTTTAATAACATAGGGTAAAGTAAAATGAAACAAGAACTAAAGTTATAAATATATTTATTTTCTAATATAATCTATAAATTTATAAATTATCAGTCACCATAATATATTCGCTGATAAATAATATCATAGAAGAGTCATCATAGCAACTACGTTAAATAAATAAACGTTGAAAGTTACTAAAGATATCCACTTTAGTAACAATTGTAATAAACATATTATATGTCATAGAAAAATAACGAGAAGAACGGAGGGGTTAGACAAAATTCATTCGCTTCAAAGCGATTCTATAGCGAACTTCAAAAATGTATGGAATTGACGCGAACGATCACGTGACTTATCGAAAGTTATCAGTTCCATGCATAATTGAAGTTCGCTATAGAATCGCTTCGAAGCGAATTTATTTTGTATATCTCTCCCGCTATATGTATAGTCGATATTCAATGGAATATACCCATTACACTGTTAGGACCTTACTTGAAAAAAATCGTCAATATTTAAAATTCATTTTATCTAACGTAAACCCTTATATATGTCTCTCGCAACCGTCGCGGATGTTTGACAAGTTCTGGATATTGAAATATTATTTATACGAAGGAGAAATTCAATCTTGACCAATAAATGAAGAACTTATACCAAAAGCAGTGTGGTGATACAATCATATAGCCACGTTGAAGTTCATATTATAATATCAACCAAAGAATTAAACACGTGTTTAACTAAACAGTCTATTATATTCTTAGGGGCAATACTGTCCGTGTTTAAATTGATAACACAAACATGTCTGTTTTTAATAAGTCTATGGTTACAGTTATAAAGGTCTTAGTTAACATTGAATTCGACTATAAATCTGTCTCGCCGGTGAGATTCCATAGTACGTTTTCCCATGTTATGCTATACGTGAGCAACGTCAAATATTACGTAGCTGTCAAAATATACAAATAAAACTATATAATTTTAATATTTTTGTGACCATAAATCCATAGCCTGATTATGTCGAACTAAATATTTGTTCTGATTTATTATTCAATTTTATTGTACGTAATATCACTAAATAAATCGAGGCTCATTAAAATATTTAATATTTTTTTTATATTTATACATGCGACAAAAGTTACATGTACAGTCGCTGAAATCAGAGGTGTTTCATTAACAGAAAAATTACCTTGTTTCTTGCAACAGAAGAAACTCCGCCTCTTCTTACAAATAACCAGTAAGACAGCAGTGAGTTGGGCAAACATGATAATAATAAAAAAGTGGCACACGAATACTGATCTTTTTTTGTCCAGACACATTTTAAATCTGCATTCTATTGGTTCAAACAACTGTAACTTTTACGGTTGAACACCGCCAAATACCCCGATTGTACATCTTATTTAACACAATTATTGCCATACTATTTATTTATAATATGAAAGGGGAATCTCATAGATTTTGCTAACATCAAACATATCTTTTATTATAGCTGCGTTTATAAGTCATTGCATTATTAAAAAATATTATGCATTTAAAGTGTACTTTTCTATGTTTCAAGTAAAGTTTTTTGATTAATCGCTCTAAATATACTTTTATGTGATTATTATTTTCGTATACATACAGTAAAGCGCAAGAAATCAGATCTAATTTGGAAAATTTAAGGGCGAGTTTTTTTTTAAACGAATACAAAAAAAAACTTATACCCATTTCACTGAATCTAAGAGATCTTTAAAATATACTTTTCTATACATATGTCAAACAAAAGTTCAACTAGAATACAATATACATTCAAATATTTTAAAAATAAAGCTTCACTTTATATACACAAAAAATTCAAACACACAAAAAAAGAGATTTCGCTATTAAAAAAAAAAATACATATATATATATATTTATCTGACTATTTTTAGGCGTACAGATATTTCCAAAATACTTCGATACAGCGTAGCGTTTTCTTTACATTTAAATTGCGCCATTAAAATTATATAGAAAACAATATAGTTTATGGTATTTTTATACTCCTATTTCATCTAGTTAATATAATTATTACTGATTAAGTCAAATTAATATAATTATTTCTGAGAAGATAATCTGTGGTGACGACTAGATATTTAATTAATAAAATAAGCAAATGTAACCAATTTTAAATTATCATACCTATTTTTTTTGGAGCAAAACTACTGGCAACACACACAGAAGGATTTTTTTTAAATAAGAAATCCTATAATACTAAAAAGATCATATATCAAATAGTTTTTAATATATCTATCCTTATATGTTAATTACTACGTAAGATGTAAAGTTTAGGCACACATAATAAGCATTGTGAACTTCTTTAGTTGCATATCAATGGTTAAATAGGCTGAAAATGGCTCATTTTAAAATCTACCTATTAAAAGCTGTCAATAACTTTTTTTTTAATTATAGAGGCTCAAAAAATATAAATACTAGAAATAAAATATAATTATTTAAAGCATTAAAAGTAATATAAAACCCAAAAATGTTGGATTACGATAATTGACTATTTTAGGTTAGAAATAGAATGTCTTAAATACTAAGCAGTTCCTAAATATCACATTATTATTATATATTAATTTGATTTGATTATATACATATAAAGCGATTTGACTTACGAATAATTACATTAAATAATAATTAAATTATCAACTGCCTCCATGAGACTCGGAACCGAGTCCACTTTCATGCCACGTTTGCGAAGACCATTTAATTCTTCAATTAATTTAGATTTATCTTTTCCCAATGTGTCCCTGGAATTGAAAATAAAATACTATAAGTAAATTTCTCTACTTTTATTTCTACAGGAAAAAAATATTAAGCAAACATGCAATTTGTATATTAAAAACTAGCTGCATCCTCTGATCCAGAAAGTCCAATTCCACTTCCCATCTTTTCCTTACAAGAAAAAGGGTAGGAAGGAAAAGAGGACTAGATTAGGCCACCGGCCTAACATCCATCTATCCAAATTTATCCTCCAATGTAATCCCACATAGAAAATTATTCCACCATTAAGTGCCTTAAACTCCCGAGTGCTAGTTAATAGAAAAAATGTAACTAAATTAAAAGTATCCAAAATTAATGTATTATACTAACCAAATAGATATACAAGTATGTAACAGTGGTACATAAATAAGCAATAGATCCGAGTCACTGACAGCTTCATATCGTTTCAATGCAAGCTGAGCCCAACGCTCCACCGGGCCGGCCAGCACACCACCACTCGCCCCAGCACATGCTACTATACGACATAAAACGCTCAGAACCACCCGAGATCTGTCAGTATACACCTGGAATTATAAGACAAATATCAACATCACGAACTTATTAATTTACTTGTTTATTATGTTTTTCATAGTGGTCACTGCACTATTTTTAGAGAAATTGGCACTAAAGGATGGCTACCATGGGGGTTTAGTGGGTAAAACCCCACTTAACCTTATTCTTTATCTTATTATATCTCAGGAGTAGGAAGGTACCTTTAGATTCCCTGATACTTAAAGAAAAATATTAATAATCTTATCTTATACATATATAAATATCAATTGCTGTTTGTTAGTCTTGCTAAAACTTGAGAACAGCTGAAAAGATTTATCTTATCTTGGTCTTGACATGTTCATGGTGGTCGAGGGAAGGTTTAAAAGGTGAGAATAATTGGCGGGAACTAAGTTTAATTAAGTTTGTTTTTATATAACACAGATGTGACCTATGTACATGAATAAAAACAAAATCCTTCCAAAAAATAAAGATCAAAACATTTTATTGCACTGTTATGCGTGAAACAGCTTTCCAATCATATCAGACATGTCCTGTTATTCATTGGGAAAACATATTTAATTGTTATCTCAATAAATAAAGCCAGCAAGTTAAACATGCTTTATCTACTCATGTGACCACTGTGATCATACCTAACATTTGTAACACTCTCAATTATGACATTATTTATCAATTGTCAAGCGAAAATATCTATACATTGTCACATCAACCACAAGTAACAATTCAATACATTTTTAATCCATTTTATCATGAAAGTAGTACAGATTTGATGATCATTCTATCACTCTACAGGCTTCACCAATCTAAAACATACTATTTCTCATGAAATATTTGTCAAAAAACTTGCAAATTATTTATTCGATGCCATGTACCATTCATGTCAGCGATATACTAAATTAAACATGGTATAAATTATAAATAAAAATTACCTTATTCAATAATTTAAAACTGCTCTCCAAGACAGACAGTGCCTGATCAAACTTGCCTTCATCTATCAGTCTTTTAGCTTCCTTCAGCTCCACCTCTTGAAAAAATGCAATTGACGCAGGTGAATCCCTGAGCCGTGACTCATTGGCTATCAAACTCAACAATGACTCAAATGCAGTACATCTGGTTGATATTAAATTTGGGTCAAAATTACCCATTAAAATCTGTGAATATAAATTACAAAAGCTTTAATTTAAAAGACATTCTTAATTTATTAAAAAACAAAACAGTATACAGGTATACCTAAGAACAGCTACAGACAAAGAGCTATAGAGAAAAATGCGATTTCAAAATCTAATTAATCATTGATAAAAATATAATTATAGCGATGATACATTGATTCTAATAAACAAAGGATTAGTAAAGAACAAGCGACAAACCTTTCTTGGAAATGTTACATTATTCAATAAAGCTGGAAAATCCTTCTTCAATCCATTGTAAAGACACAAAAAGTCTGTATATCTTCGCTCCACATTAGCAGGATCAGGATCAAATGCCATTGAATCTGAAACATCTTGTCGCACTTGTAACATATAAGCTACAAACTTTTTTTCTTTATCTTCGCCTTCCACTGTTCTTGATGAGACAATTTCAAATCTCAACATATTTTATAACTCTTATGAAACTTGTAAGACACAAAAATTTTGGTGGTTTAATTATAAAAATTAGAACTTAATTAGCACATTCAACATGTAGCATTGTACTTGTAACAATCATAAATAAAGAAGTTATTGAATATGATTTGAAGTTTTTGAAGCAATGACATTGAGTGACAATGACAGATAACACTGACAGTAAAAATCAAAATTATTGCCGTTCGAAAAAAAAATTGATTATAGTTTTATAATTTTCGTTTTCGTTTTTCCAACATCCGTACGTAATAAGCTATCTCGGTATTGCAATCCTCTAATTATAAAGAATAAACGAATGTATAAACCGACAAAAATCCGTGTTCTATTGTTTCTACTAACTTGACATGACATGACATAGGTAACAAGTGAAATATTTGCTCTGATAACTATCCACCACTATCACAGCTTGATTAATACCGCCAAAGTTATCAGCGTAAATAAAAATAAAACTACATGATCTCTTTGAGAATGTAATAAACAGTAACATTCATCGAAAATAACAATAAGTATTTCATATTCCACTATGGTCTTCTTTTTTCGATAGCTATGTCGAGTAAACGCCTTTATTTGGAAAATATTGAGGTCTATTACTTAGCGATCTATATCACCAAACACTATGTCTATTGTAGCTATAATAATAGCAATGTCAGCAAGCATCATCTTCTTACCCATTATAGCCAAACCTGCTAAATGATTATATGAACATGGTCGCAAATGAACACGATACGGCTTCGACGTGCCATCTGCTACCATGTATAGTCCTAATTCTCCTTTAGGACATTCAACGGACGTATAAGTAGCCCCGGGAGGAACTACATATCCCTCAGTGCATAGCTTGAAATGATGTATCAGTGCTTCCATCGAGGTTTTCATTTCCTGTCTCAGAGGTAGTGATATTTTTGAATCATCGGTTCGCACTTCTCCCTCTGGAATAGTATCAATGACTTGGTTTATAATTCTCAGTGACTCGCGCATTTCATATAATCTCAGTAGGTGTCTATCGTAGCTGTCTCCAAAGGTACCAACGGGCACATCGAAATCGTATAGATCGTATCCATCGTAAGGATGAGAGATTCGTAAATCCCACTTCACTCCAGTAGACCGTAACATTGGGCCCGTAAAGCCTAAATTTATTGCATCGTGAGCATTCACAGAGCCTATACCAGCGGTGCGAGCATAGTACAACCTATTGCCAGTGACAAGATCCTCAGTTTCGTCATACCGCTCCCCGAGCTTGCTGCAAAACTCGTATACATCGTCTAAAAAGCCTACGGGTATGTCCATTGTTACCCCTCCTGGCTTAAAATAAGCATTATGCACTCGAGCGCCACACACTCTTTCGAACAGTTCGTAAATTTTTTCTCGTTCCTCGCACATCCAGAAAAATGGAGTTATACCTCCAGCATCTAGCACCGTGCCCGATACGTTCAACAAATGATTTGCTATTCGTGATAATTCGGCGCACATAACTCGAATAGCTTTTGCTCTCGGAGGAGCTTCAATATTTAGTAACTTTTCAACTGCTAAAACGAATCCTTGTTCATTCGCCATCGTGGATACGTAATCTAAGCGATCCATGAAGGGTAAGCTTTGATTATAATGTTTGTTTTCCATTAATTTTTCTGTAGCTCGATGCAAGAAACCAATATGAGGGTCTGCACGAACGACAGTTTCACCTTCCAACTCTAAAATAAGCCGTAGCACTCCGTGGGCGGCGGGATGTTGCGGACCAAAATTAATCCACATATTTTGAAGTTTTCTTTCTACCGGTCGTACGAGTGAATTGTAAATTACATTGTAGTATTTGTCCGAGGCTTCGTTTCTGAATATAGTTGGCCCGGATATTCCTTTTATGAATTCCAAGTCGGGATACCAACGGGGGCCACATGATGGTGTATTTAATTTTATATGTCGAACATGTTGTAAATTGTAAGCTGAAAATAATTTAAGTAATCGCATATTTACCAATATTAAATTACCAATAACATTTACAACATTTTAAAATCAATATGTCAAATATGACATTATTATTCATAAATAAATTTTCTTTTTTATACTTCTTATTTCATTAATTGCCAGTATTCTATGAAAAGCGTAAGTGCTTCAACTTTATGTCGTCTTCTATGTGGTTACGAAGTAGTTACATACTCTTTGGTGGTCACGGTATTTCCCTGGTCGAGCCAGCAAATTCTTTCAACAAATATTATTGCTGGCTCTACCACTATCTTACTAATATTATAAATGCGATTGTTTGAATGAATGTTTGTTTGTAGGTATCTCCATAACGGCTGCATGGATCTCGCTGAAATTTGGCATAGATGTAAAGTATAGTCTGTAAAAACACATAGGCTACTACATCGTCATCAGCTCACTGTACATCCCCACTGAGGGGCTCGTAGCCTACCTTATTTTAGGAATAGGATACTTATTAAGTCATTTTTTTAATGCCATGCGGACGGATTCGCGAACGACAGCTTGTTAAATACAAATACTTAATAAGTCCATTAACAAATATAGATAGTTAAACTTTAAAGTAAAGATAATACTGTAATTGTTAGTACATACTTATATAGTTTTGTTATTGGAAGTGGTTGGAAAAATGATAACTTTATTAAGGTATATTAAGTTTATTTTCATAAAGATATATTATGAATGATATTAAGTTTATTATAAATTAAAATTAAATATGTAAAAAACTAAAAACTAATTTTATAAATAGTAAAACGAATAAAGCAATCACGTAGTAAAAGTTATTTTCTATCAGATATTAAAAATAGATAGTGTCCCATTATATTTATAAAAAGGCAACAAATAATTCAGTCTGTTGTATAACATAAGTAGTAACAGTAAACTACAAAATGCTCAGAAATATTAAATATAACTTTCATAATATTATATGGGTTATGCAGATATTTCGCGCGTATGGAATGAGATATCATTTTTCTATGTAGAAGCACCTTTATACATTTTACATACAACATACCATTTTGGTATAGTTCTTTTCAAATATTCTGAGAGCCCCCTCATCCCGCTTCAAAAAAATTGTGTTTTTTTATATCATAAGGTGACAAATGCCCATAGACATACGCAGTTGCATATGCGTTGCCTACCTTTAATCGACGGAGGAGGGGATGCACAGATAGAAAATATTTTCCATTCCCATGCATCCTCTCATCCGGAAAGTCCACTTCCACTTCCCATCCTTTCCTTATAAGATAAGGGATGGGAAGGGAAAGAGAACTAAATTAGGTCACCGGGACGCAAATTCTGCGCATGTTTTGCATAGCGACTCGCGCGAAGTTAAGAGCTGTCAAGATATCTGAAAACAACTATACTTATGATATGGATTATTTGCTCGCTTAACTTATAAAAATGTAAAAACAAATATTACATTAATTATCTATATTAAAAATCCATAATATAATGGAAACATACATTCTCAGCAAATTTCATACAATAAATACATAATCTAGTCCGCAGTAGTTTGGTTCATCTTGTACTGAATATATTTAGCTGGTCATCTTCTCTGCTGCCTCCACGTAGACACAGGAGCACAGCCTCTGCATAAACCTCAATATACATCCTGAGAAAACATGGTAACTTTCCGGTTTGTTTTTCCATTTAACGCACAAAAAGTATACAGGAATCCCTGATAACATAATAGCTATACCAATAGCTGTATCCCTAGGATTGGTTATAGCTGGAATGATGACCAGACAGCCGATAGCAATTAAGAAAACATAGGGTATCATAATGTTCACTTTAATCGGTCGTGGTATATTTGGTTTCGCACGTCTTAACCAAAGCATTCCAATAACCGATACTCCGACGGATAACCACAAAGTTTGAGAGAAGTAATTTATTAAATCGAATACGTTGCTTGTTGTCAGCATCAGGAGAGACATTACACACTGGAAATTAAAAAAAAACGTAATTAACAATAATAAGTTGAAACGTGTACTCCAAAATTAAGGTATGGTAGCTTGATTTCTTATTTTTGCATTACTTATGATGAATAAGATACCGAAGGACTTTCCTTTTAGGGTTCCGTACCTTAAAAAGAAAAAAACAGAACCCTTATAGGATCACTTTGTTGTCCATCCGTCTGTCTGTCTGTCAAGACCCTTTTTCTCAGGAACGCGTGGATGTATCAAGCTAGAATTTATTTATTTCTTTCTCTTTATTTACTGTTTTCACACCACTATCCAACATAAAACTTAACAAAGCATGCATCATATAATTTTTTTTTACTGTAGTAACACTCATTCACATAATTATGTAGGAGGCTTGACTCCTGAAGTAGGACTAAGCCATGTGTTTATTGCCAATCCCTTCCTCTTTTCATTAATTCGATTTTACATTTAGTGCCAAAAAAACTGATCTGGTTGTTTCAACGTCCTTCCATATTCATAACAGCAAATATCTGCAGCCGCTATTTAGTAGCAATTGTACGTAACTAACTAGTAATCAAAATACTCACAGTGAAGAACAAGGACGGTATCGGCGTCTGTCTTTCTATATGGAACAAGGAGAAGAAAGCAGGCATGTGTCCTTCCTGCGCGCCTGTCGCGAACAACCTCGCGGAGGTGAAGAGCACACCGTTGACACCGCCGAAGGTAGACAGAGCCACGAACACTGGAATCACCCAGCTCCAGCTTCCGAACAGCCGGTCACCGAACACCTGAAAGAATAAAAAGACCAAATTAACATATGCAGCATACAGATGACAGTATCAATTTTCAATGGATGAATGAGTCAGTAAGTCAAACAGTAAGCAAAATTGTGAAACAAGACAATAGTCCCATTTAGGAGGGTATGTGTATTTCTGTGTAGAAATCTATAAAAATACATAATTTTTTTCGTTTATATACCACTAGCTGTCGCCCGCGACTCCGTCCGCTTGGATATATAGAAAAAATTAGTGTAGCCCACCCATCCATCCACATCACATCCATCAAAACATTCGCATTTATAATATTAGTAAGTTAAATTAATGGCAACTCTTCAAGGCATGAATTCGAAAAAAAATGAATAAACAGTATCCTATCTCCTGGCCCTAAGCTACCTCCTCACCAATTTTCAGCCACATCGGTAAAGCCGTTCTTGAGTTATAAATAGTGTAACTAACA